TATAGGGTGAGGAACAGAACCCATACTGCCTAAGGTCCAGTGTGAAATATCCACAGTCAGTCATGGTTTGGTGTGCAATGTCCGGTGCAGGTGCTGGTAAGCTCTGCTTTCTTAAAACCAAGGTCACCGCAACAGTCTACCAGAATGTTGTAGTGGATTTCATGATTCCTTCTGCTGTGGATCTGTATGGAGATGCAGATTTCATCTTCCAGCATGACCTGCCCATGCCGTCAGAAGCACCAAAACCTGGTTTGATGCCCATGCCACAGTGCTTGACTGGCCAGTCAACTCGCTGGACCTAAACCCCATTGAGAATTTATGGGGTATTCGCAAGAGGAAAATGAGGAGCACCAGACCCAACAACAAAGAAGAGCTGACAGCAAGCATGAAGGAAATCTGGGCTTCCATAACTCCCAGGCAATGCCACAGGCTGATTGCCTTATTGCCACGTCGCATCGAGGCAGTGATTAAGGCAAAGGGATTCCCAACCAAGTATTGAAGATTGACATATCATTTTGAAAGTACCATATTTTGATTGATTTGTTGTGATCCTAATTTCTTTCTTTTTTTTTTTTTCTGCAAAATCTGAGTAGTGTGGACTGATGTCTTCACAGTATTGTAATTTTTTTTGAAATCCTGTTTTCATGGGTTTCATGAGCTGGTAGCCCAAATTATGTAAAAAATAAATAAATAAATACTTTAAATAATTTAAATTGTGGCCCCTGAATCTATCATTTATTAAAGATTAACTTTTTGAATGGAATTATGGAAGTTAAAAAACTTTTCCATTATATTCTAATTTTTGTACTATTCTTCCTTTGTAGTTTTTCATTTATCGTGGGGCTTCAGGGTATGGATCCGCTGCTATAAACAATTGACTTCTGTACATAAATTATCTTAGTTCTAACTTCTGCATTTTTTGTGTGTTTTTAAGCTGTTGGCCAACATTGTGATCTACTTTTGTGCCATCACTGTGGGTGTCATGTCGTACTACATGGCTGACCGGAAGCATCGAAAAGCTTTTCTGGAGGCAAGACAGTCGCTGGAGGTTAAACTCAACCTGGAAGAGCAGAGCCAGCAACAGGTCAGAGGTCATGCTTAGTCACACAGTTTGAAGGAACTTTTTCCACATCTGTGTTACACTGTTTCCACAACACTGTCAATCTAAGCTGACAAGATCTGGGTTTTTGGATCAGCAACAACAACAAGCCCAACAACAACAAGCCCAAGAGCAGTTTAACAATTATTGTGAACAAGAAAAACTCTGGCGAAGGTCTGGGTCGGGTCCAATCTTCGATCTTGATGTTGCATCAGAGTCTGTAGTCGCACTTCTGCCGGTAACGTCACTCCATTAGAGCAGGTTGCTGCAGCGGAGCAGATTAAAGGACTTAAGGTGCAGAACAGGGAAATTCAGAATCCTGGTTTGTTGCAGGGGTCAAAACCGTAGAAGCAGAAAAGCGGGAACAGGGCCAAGTCGTGATCCAAAAGACATGGTCAAAAGGGGAAGGCACAGAGTCAGAAACCATGGGCACATAGACAGACAAAATCCAAGAGGGTTCAGGCAAGGCAAAGAGTCAAAAACAGGTGAGGAGTTGTGGCAAGGCAAGAGACAAGATAAGGTATGCTGGATTTCTTCTTGTGTCAGGTTTGAGAATCTGGCACTGACTGAGTGAATGCAGGGAGCTTAAGTAGGGTGGAGAACAGGTGTAGAACTTGAGCTTGATTGCTGGGTGAGAGTGAGTGACAGGAACAGGCAGAGGTTGACAGGAAAAAACACAAACATGACAGGCTGTGAGGTGCAAAACCCTTGTATATACATATATATATATATATATATATATAT